GTTAAGAAATCTCTAGTGCAATGTCCCTGGGATTAGAGAAAAATTGGTCAGCAGATGGTGTCCCTATTTAACCCACAACAGTGGTTCTTAACCTTTTTGGGATCGTGGGTCTCTCTGAGAATATCATGGAGCTATGAACTCTCTCCCCAGAAAAATGCACTTAGGGGCATACACATACGGTTTCGTAGTCCATGTCAGGAATTTCTACACTCTGACGTCCACCCATGTATGAAGGTTAAGAACCCTTTCCATCAAAGGGTAGGATTGCAAAACTTGTTTTTAACAGGAGGGAAGAGGGCAGGACACAACCCTTAAAGAATGACAGAGCTGTTGTGGACACGACATAAACTGGTTAAAACCTGGTTAGAACCGATTAGGCCCAAGATGGAAGAAGATTCAACTTCCAGTAGATCTTGAGCCTCATTATATGCTCATTGTAATACATTAGCGTATGCTACATAACACACCCACGGGCACCATGACTGTTCCAAGGCTAACTATAAAAGACCGAAAAGTGGGCAGTGGCCCAAATCCTGGAAATCCCCACCCCTTCTCCAAAATAGTTGGAATAATCCTCCCACTCATTAGCCTATGAAATTACCCAGCCCATAAAAACTAACCACCCATATTTCCTGGCTGCTCTCACCTTTTGAGACACTGTATTCTGTCTATGGAATGTGTATCTCCCAGGGCCTCTCCCTTTCTGAGATGGCCCACACTCTATGGAGTGTGTGTCTCTCTCTCAACAAATCTACTTCTTACCTATCACTTTGCCTCTCGCCGAATTGCTTCTGCAGTGAGACATAAAGAACCTGAGCTTCATTAAGTCCTGAGACCAGGAGAGCAATTTCAATTAAAAGGCAGTGGGTTCGAGTCCCAGCCTGCGGGTTCAAGTCCCAAGCTGAGTTTTGGCGGGGTTCAAATCCCATCTGAGTTGTGCAGTTTCAGCAGGTATGCCTTAATTAACATGGTTCTTTAAAACTCTGCTTCACCTGGACTCTCAATTCCTCATATTACTGCATAATTTACCTAAAATATCAAAGGATCTGTCAGACCAGTGCGCGTGACGGAAAGGGCAAACTCCTAACCCAACTCCTCAATCACGCCGCAAGCAAAAGTAGTGCTGAAAGGGGCCTCAGCGCTTCCTCTGATGGAAACTGAGGCTCAGACCCCCACACCCGCCCTCACAAAAATCTGCCTTTAACTCTGCACTTGGTGCCTGAACCCCGCCCCCGACCTGGGCTGAACCCGGAGCTCCCTAGCGGAGCGGCACCAAGGCCCCTCCCTGCCCGCCGGCTCTCAGACACCCCCCACCGCACCCTCCGCAGACGCCCAGCCCCCAGGCTCACGGCTCCTACTTGTCTCCAAAGTCTGCAAGAGCATAAGCTGGCACTTCTGGTTGTTGGTGAAGAAGCTGGAGAGGAACCCTTGCTGTGGCTTCCCCTGAGCCAACCGCTCCGGGAAGACCTGGCACCCGACGTGTTGCTGCTGCAGCTGCTCCCCCGCAGCGGGGCCCGGGCCGCGTTCATCCGGAGCTCCTGCCATGCCGCCCACGGACTTTGCAGCTGCTTCCGCCCGCCTCAGGCGGCCCGAGGGGAGACAGGGAAAGGCAACCTCCCTCCCGCCTACCCACAGCCCAGGCCCTCCCTCCGCCGAGCCGACCTGGCGCCAGCCGGGCGACGACCGCAGGGGTCCACAAGCCCGGAGACCGAAGGAGCGCTGGGCCACAGGCGCCGGGAGGGAAGACGGTAACGGGGCGGGGCGACGGCTGCTAGGCGGGCAAGGGGCGGGGCCAAGCGCCTGCTGGCTGAGCTGGGGTTAGAGAGTACCCTCGCAGGCTACAACCCGCCTGATGTGGGCTCGGCCTTCGCCGCTCAGCGTGCTTTTGCCGTCCCCATAAGCCTTGTTCCGCAGCTCTGCTTACTCGTGCACACTCTGTCCTTACCTCCTGACCAGTACTGGCCATTAAATGCCCTTCTCCCTCTGAAGGTTTCTGCCATCTTCGCACTCCCTGCTTTGTCCACCAGCAGGCTAATTGCAGCCTCTGGTCCACCTCTCTCTCTTGACGCCCCAAGCCATATTAAAAGCCCTGTTTTTCAGAAACGATTGAAAGCTGCAATTATAATGAATGGTCGCGTCAAAACCCTCAAAATATAAGACCCAACTACTTTTTTTCTGCCTCTTCTAAGCCCATTCGCCCACCCTACTCTTTTGCCACTGCAAATAACTCTCTGATAATTGATGAAATAAAATTCATATTTTATGGCAAGGCAAGAAAAATTTAAACAAAATTTTTCTCTGCCAGTTTGGGCCTCCTCCCTCCCCCTTAGAGTATATTGTGCATCTGCATTAACCAGACCTCCTTAGAAGATATTCCTTCTTAATCTTGTATAGGGTCAGGATGACCCACTACTCCATAACTCCTTGGGAGATAACCTTCCTTCTGTCAATAATTCATTTGACGTATAATACTTTGTCTCAAAAACTTCTTTAACTGTGCTGTGATTTCTAGTGGGTGAAACAGTGCTCAGAGCTTTCTGAAAGACTGTCTCCCAGGTTATAATCCTCAGATTCGCTCAAATAAAATTTTCCATTTCTTTCTTAGATCGACTATTAATTTTTTCATCAACATAACAAAATACAACCTTTTTACTTATAACTCCAAGCCTTAACTCATATTTCCATCTTTAAGCCCCCATCCTCAGTCCTTATGATCCAGGTCCTGATCAAATCTTCCTAATCCACAGGGCCTTCCCAGATACCTTAATCAAAATTAATCTCTCCTGATCTCCCAATGTACAAAGTACTTCATACCTATTATGGCTTCATCACTGCCTGACAGGTTTTAACTAATTTGTGTTTCTCTTTTCCCAGTAAATTTACTCAGTTCAACTCACACATTTATTCAGTACCTGCTATGATGGGCCAGGCATGGCAGCAGAAACAGGATAAGAGAACTTCTAAGGTTGAGAGGAGCATATGATTTATGTAAGAAATGTATCTAATTCATAAAGGTTCAAGAGACATTGAGGATTATGAACAGTACCTATGTGTCATAGGTGCTCAATAAGTATCTAAATTGAGTGAGATGCTAGGATTACTCATTTGAAAAATAATATTATGAACACCTTCTATGTACATAGACTACTAAAGCTGTAACAAAAAAAAGCTACTTTTTATTGAGCTCACCTGCAATACATTATTTCTAATCCCTACCACAACCCTGCAAAATAAATATTGTTATCACTATATTTTTCAGACAAAGAAAGTGGGCTCAGCGAAACTGAATAATCCAGGACCACACAACTAGCTCTTAATCTAGTTAGAGGACTAAAATATACACATATGGAAAACTAGACCATTTCAAGTTAGCGTAATTAGTCTGGAATTCTCAGGGAAGGCTAGATAGAAAAGATGGGGCCTGAAATGGACCACAGACTGTAAACATTTGAAATACTATTCAGCTATATGAATAAGCAAAAAAATGCAAATTAAAAGCTCTCATTTCCCCGCACCAAATTAGCAAACATTTTTTCAATGTTCATTGCTGAAAGCAACAGAGAGAAAACTAGAAAACTGTACACCAAGATATGATCAGTAGTTGTCTAGGTATCAGAATATTTTTATTATTTTTCCAAATTTTCCTAATGTTCTACAATAAGCATGTATTACCTTTATAATCAGAAAGGTATACTTTAAAAAAATTGAGTAGCCTTTGGATGGCATATATGTTAACTTCATCCATTTATACTATAAAGACATAGGAGCGGAATGGGATGGCATTAGGGGAGAGAGAGGGAAGTGCAAATACAAATTACTAAGGTAAAAAGAGAAAAATAATCACCACAAAGAAATGAGAACATGGGCAAAGACTTAGCTATAAGGATTTTCATTTCTCCATTGCAGTACTAATTAAGAACAAAAAGGATAGAAACTGTTTTAACAAAAAGTGCAATGGAAAACATACAACCATGTTGTTTTTTAAATGAAATATGTTCATAAAAGCTTTTTAGGTTACAAAATAGCATGTACAAGCTGGAAATTTATTATATGCACAGAGAGGGTCTGGAAGACTTCTGCAAAGTGTTTTTAGTGGTTGTTTCTGGGTGGATATGTAACCGAGCAGGACCCTATGGGGCCTTCCCAGGACGGACCCCCTCCCCCATATCCTCGCTGTAGCTCCTCTGAAATACCTAGATAATAGTATCTGATGCACACTTCCTGAGTTACAGATGCTAAAACCACCACCAAATGGAAGAAATTACTTGATGATGATGAGCCCCCAGACCCTATAGGCCCCTAAGGATTGATAATGTTAACCGCCCTATTAGCTCAACATCAACCAGAGAATTGTGCAGGACCTGATCACATACCCTGCAACCAGTCTCCCTCACCTGGCTTTTAAAAATGCTTTGCAGAAACCCTTCCGGGAGTTCAGGGTATTTTGAGCAGGAGCTCTGTCCCTTCTCTTTGCTGGGCCCTGCAACATACCTTTCTCTGCTCCAAACTCCCACGTTTTGGTTTGGGCTCACTGTGCATCAGGCACATGAGCGAAAGATGAAATTTGGGAGTTTTGTTTTGTTTGCACCTGTGTGTGCTTGCCTTCATTCTCTAAAGCAAAAATAGTTGTTTTATAGTAAGTTGTTTGAAGCTGCTTAAATAAATCACAGCAACAAATGAAGTTGCATATAACTTTAAAGTGCTTTCTAGCTTTGTTTTTTCGCAACTAATAAATCCACTTCTCCAGGGCCGCCAAAACTTGGGGGACATTATAGCCTTTCCTTAGTGATCCAGTCATTTTGAATACAGGGAAAGAACAAAACAATCTCCACCACTCTCCGCGGGAACACGCCACACTCGGCCCGGTAATCGCACACCGCTGGGAAACGCAACCCACCAACAAACACACCTACTTCCAGCTGGAGTCAGCCCTCCGAACCCGGAAGTGAATGGGAGAAGGCACGCAGCATTCTGGGAAGATTTAAAGGAGCCGGGTTGGTGTGGCTGGCTGTTACCGGGGCAACCAGAGGGGCTTGGCGGTTATCCGCGGTTTGGCGCCGTTAGCTGGACAGTCTGAGACGCTCAGAGGCCATGTGGGATGAGCGAAGAGGGAAGAAGGGCCCTTTCAGGAGACAGTTGTCCTGTCAGGTTATCTAGTCGTGCCCTAGGCGGGAGCGCCACCTCTGAGAATCTGGGTCACGACCCCCTTCTTCTTTCAGCCTTTCGGCCAAATGAAGTAGCCCAGCGGCTCCTGACTGTCATTTCTTTACTTTACTTTTCTGCCTCCTCTCAGAAAATGTAAGTTAAGAATTTCTGATTAACACTGTAATGTGTTCTAATATCAACGTAAAATTCTTGTTTAAGGACATTTTATGGGGCCACAAATTGAGAACTTAAAATTCACACTCAAATTGTAGACTGCCCCTTGAGATATGGTAAGGGCATAAGGATTTTAGATGAAGAAATTTTGGGGAAATTACTTTCCCCAAAAGGAATTTTTGAATTCCGTTAGGGAAATAATGTGAATATTTTTTTCCATGTAATGAACAGAAAATAGAGTGTGTGGGATTAATCACTTGTAACAGTGATCACAGTGTAATTCTGGCCACAAAGGGACATTAATTACCACCCTCCTCCCTCTCCATGCTAAACTCCCCCATTTATGTTCCAGCTAACTTTTAATTTCTGCAGTACTATGCTTTTTCAAGTCTGCTCCTTTTGCAAATGGTAAAAATGCTCTTCCTTGCCTTAATTTTCTTTGTTCAAATGCTCATTTAGGTATTATGTCCTTTACAGTCCTTCCCTGGGACTTTTGTCCACCTCCCATTCAAGATAGAATATGCTCTTCTTTATGAACATTTGCATATTTATCACAGTAATTATGATTCATTTAGTGACATCTGTTCTTCCAACTTTGGAGACCTTCTTGTGGGCAGGGCATATTTTATATTTATCTCAATTGCATTGAGGCTCGGCTCATTTGGTTCTCAACAGATATTTGTTGGATAAACGTAAACTACCTTTGTTAACTAGTCTAAAGGAATGTGAACTAAAATGAAATAAACAAGGGTAACCACTGAAATTAATTAATTAATTAATTAAATTGAGGACTTTTTTTTTGGCTGTGCGGGGCCTTAGTTGCAGCACATGGGATCTTCGTTGCCCCACGCGGGATCTTTAGCTGCGGTATGCGGGATCTAGTTCCCTGACCAGGGATCAAACCCCAGACCCGCTGCATTGGGAGCGCAGTCTTAACTGTGGACCACCAGGGAAGTCCTGAGGATATATATATTTTTTTGGCTTTGTTGGGTCTTTGTTGCTGCACACAGGCTTTCTCTAGTTATGGAGAGTGGGGGCTACCCTTCGTTGCGGTGTGCGGGCTTCTCATTATGGTGGCTTCTCTTGTTGTGGAGCATGGGCTCTAGGCGCACGGGCTTCAGTAGTTGTGGCTCACGGGCTCAGTAGTTGTGGCTCGTGGGCTCTAGAGCACAGGCTCAGTAGTTGTGGCGCACAGGCTTAGTTGCTCCGTGGCATGTGGGATCTTCCCGGACCAGGGCTCAAACCCGTGTCCCCTGCATTGTCAGGCAGATTCTTAACCACTGAGCCACCAGGGAAGCCCCTGAGGATATTTTTTAAAAGAAGAAAATAAAACTCACCAGTCATCCAGAAGTAACTTAAAATTTTCATATATTACATATGTTATTTTCTCTGCATAAATATTTTTTGCATAGTTGAGTATATTTGGGGAAAACCATTTTAAGTCCTGCTTTTTCACATGTATATGATATAATTCTGTTACTAAAATCTTAGCAACAAAGACAGCATTGAAGACCTTAATGTAAATCATCTGTAATGAGTTGAAGAAACAGGGATGAAGTGGACGCAGCATGTGAAGACAATTCTTTCAAGAAGTTTGGCCGTAAAGGAGAAGAGAAAGGTCAGTAGCCGGAGGAGAATGGCAAGTGAAAGAAAAATGTTAGTTTCTCTGTAAGGAGAACAGACAGTGATGTTTGTTATTATAAGAGAAAAAAACCTGGTAGTTAAAGATACTGCCAAGAAAGAGAATAACTGATTGAATGATTCCATAAAGAAAGAGGAGATGACAGGGAGATCAGCTCGGTGCTTTGTGACCGCCTGGAGGGGTGGGATAGGGAGGGTGGGAGGGAGGGAGACACAAGAGGGAAGAGATATGGGAACATATGTATATGTATAACTGATTCACTTTGTTATAAAGCAGAACCTAACACACCATTGTAAAGCAATTATACCCCAATAAAGATGTAAAAAAAAAAAAAGAGGAGATGAGATCCATAGATCAGGTACATAAATTAGCTTAGATAGGAGGCAGAACTAGGAAAGAGGATGTCAAGGTGGGTATGGATGTTAGTAATTTTTAAACTATTGAAAATCGGCAAAAGAGTAACAAAAATATGTCAAAAGATATATATAAAAATGGCCAATAAATAGGTATGTTCAGCCACATTAGCTAAAAATATAAATGGCATATTAAATGCCTATTAAATTGGCAAAGATTAAAAAGAAATTAGTATATGCATTGGGCAAGTATTCAGTGAAACAAGCATTGCAGGTGGGGATAGAAATTCGTACATGTCCCCCTTCCCCAGGCATTTTAGAAATATGTATCAAAATCCTTAAAATATATACTTTAACTAAGCAACTATACTTTCAGGATGTTCTCAAAAGGAAATAATCAAAACTGCATACGTGTGTTAAGCTGGGTGGAGTTCATTTCAGTTTGTCCACCAAAAAAGATAGGTTAAATATATTACACCCATACTTCTTAGACTTGGATAATATTGTTGCAGATAAGAGAAGTTCACTCATACTAGTTTAAGTAAGAGCATCCGCAGGTTATCTAGGAAGGGAATGTAGAGTTGCAGTCTGACTGACTACCCTGATACGCAGTTAGTGGGATGCTTTGTACCATTTAAAATGATGATGTAGGGCTTCCCTGGTGGCGCAGTGGCTAAGAATCTGTCTGCCAATGCAGGGGACACGGGTTTGAGCCCTAATCCGGGAAGATCCCACATCCGCGGAGCAACTAAGCCCGTGCACCACAACTACTGAGCCTACGCTCTACAGCCTGCGAGCCACAACTACTGAGCCCATGTGCCACAACTACTGAAGCCCTCATGCCTAGAGCCCGTGATCTGCAACAAGAGAAGCCACTGCAATGAGAAGCCCACACACCGCAATGAAGAGCAGCCCCCGCTCGCTGCAACTAGAGAAAGCCCACACGCAGCAACGAAGACCCAACACAGCCGCAAAAAATAAATAAATAAATAATTTTTTTAAAAAAGACAATATTTGAGGGCTTCCCTGGTGGCGCAGTGGTTGAGAGTCCGCCTGCCGATGCAGGGGACACGGGTTCGTGCCCCGGTCTGGGAAGATCCCACATGCCGCGGAGCGGCTAGGCCCGTGAGCCATGGCCACTGAGCCTGCGCGTCCGGAGCCTGTGCTCCGCAACGGGAGAGGCCACAACAGTGAGAGGCCCGCGTACCGCAAAAAAAAAAATTACTACATGGGAAAACAACAACAACAAAAACAACGCTCACACACACACACACACACACACACATACATATACCATAATTGAAGTTGAAGCAACAACCCAAGAGAAAATGTTTGCAACATATATGACAAATGTGTATGTCATTAATACACAAAGAGCTCTTACATGTCAATAAAAAGGTTCAACACCCTAACAGGCAAACCTGGTAAAGAACATGAACAAGCAAACAACACACACACACTCTACAAATGGCTAATAAGCATAGGAGAATATTTTTATTCTTGCTAGTTATGAAATACAAAAAATCCCAACAATGAGATGACATGTTTTCATTGGATTAGCAAAGCTACAAAGGTTGGTGTTGGCAGAGAAGTGAAAGAGGGTCCTGTGGGAATATAAGTATGTTCAGCCTTTCTGAGTGCAATCTGGCAACGTATCAAAATGTTAAATATGTGTACTTTGAACCAGCAGTGATACTTCTAGGAATGAATTCAGAGGTGATAATCAGGCAAATCAGAAAATGACTTGTTATGATATTAGTTAAAAATTAGAAACAAAGTTTTATAAGTAAGAGACTAAATATACTTTTGAGTGAAAAGAGCTAGTTACAAAGCATCATGTTCATTGTGATCCTATTTATATAAATAGGTAAGTGCACATAGAAGTAATATTTAACAAAATGTTAGTAATGGAAATCTCTGGTGGGATTGCGAGTGACTTTCAAGGTTACGCAAAAGCAAGACGAGCATGAACTCCTATGTATCTCCACTCAGCTTCAGTTGACACCCTTCTTTATATTCCACCTACTCCCTCTCCCACCCCAATTTTTGAAGTAAATCCAAAACATTTTATCTGTAAATATTTTAACACGGGGACTTCCCTGGTGGCCTAGCAGCTAGGATTCCAGGCTTTCACTGGTTGGGAACTGAGATCCTGCAAGCCCTGCGGCGCGGCCAAAAATAAATAAATATATATATACATATATATATATACACATATATATATATTAATGTGTACCTCTAAAAGACAAGGATGCTTTTAAAACATAATCTTTTCTTTTTTTTTTTTGGCCGTGCTGTGTATCTTGCAGGATCTTAGTTCCCTGACCAGGGATGGAACCCAGGCCCTTGGCAGTGAAAGCACAGAGCCCTAACCCTAACCCTAACCCAGAGCCCTAAATTCCCTGGACCTCCAGGGAATTCTCTAAAACATAATCTTGATACCATTATCACACTAAAAAGGAAAAATCCTAACAATTTCTTCATAAGATCAATTATATCCAATCAGTGTTCCAATTTTTTATTTTATACATCATTTTACAGTTAGATTGAGATCCAGACATTCCAATCGGTTCACATTTTTCCTAATCTATAGATTCTCCCTCCCTCCTCTTTTTTTTTTTTCTTGCAATTTATTTGGGGAAGTAACTGGGCTGTTTGAGTTTAGGAGTTTTGAGAGTAGGCCTGACCCTAACATTTACAGACCTGGGACAGTAGTACAAATGGAGCCCGAAATACCATATATCTAAGTATTTAAATGCTATAACTCCAGCTAACAGTTAAATATGTTCTATGATCCTTCCTTGACAAATAAACCCTCTTAGACCTGGAAGGCCAAGTTAGAATTTCGAATTCTCAGACTCCTTAGAGTTCCTCACTGGATTGTTGTTGTACAGGAGAGCTGGCCTGTGGCCCACAGGCTGTCCCATTCTCTTTCCACCCCTGGCTCCATCTCCTTCTCAAGGACACCCTGCCCACCCCTCCTGCCCCCACCCCTCCTCCCACCCACATCTCTAAGCTCAATCTACATCTTCTGCAAACAGCTACTCCTGGCTGCACAGTCAAACCTTGGGAAGATGAACTAAAGAAGAGACCCACGCAGGCCCTGAAAACAGGCGTAGGTTGTATAAAGTGAGAAGTTCAGGTTCTAGGGAGCCAGAACATGGTCTGGAAGGGGCAGTGGCATATCCCCTTGGTCCCGTGGACTTCCTGCCCCATCTGAAAGGACGCAGCTAGAGGAGGGCGCGAGTAGGGCCCCTTGCGGGAGTCTAAAGACCATACTTCAATAAAGTTCCCCACAATAAAGCTCTCACATCCCCAGAATGTTATTAAATAAGTTTCTTTGTCCCCTCTGTTTCCTATAAATTGATACTTAGATCTAGGAGCTTGATCAGATTTCAGATTCAATGTTTTTGTCAAGAATATTTCGTGAGTTTTGTGTACACCCATCAGGAGGCACAAAAAATCTGGTTGTCTTTTTAAATGGGTTAAAATAAAGTGCACAAATCTTAACTGTTCAGTTCGTTTTAGCAATTGTGTACATCCACGTAGTTTACTCCCAAAACAAGATATAGAATATTTCCATCACCCCAGAAAGTTACCTCCTGAGTCTTTACAGTCAATTCCCCTCCACCCACAGAAACAACCACTTTCTCGCTTCCATCCCCATAGACACTTTTGCCTGTTCTTGGACTTTATGCCAATGGAATTATACAGCATGTACTCTTTTGTGTCGTTTGTTAACATATTACCTTTTAACTTTATCCATGTTGTTGATATATCAGTTCACTAGTTCATCCTTTTTATTGTTGAGTATTATTTCATTATATGAATGTACCATAATTTATCTTTTCTCCTGTTTATAGATATTAGGGTTGTTTCCAGTGTGGGGCTATTATGAATAAGGCGTCTATGAACATTTTTATACATATTGAGTTATGGGCATTTCATTTTTTCTGGGTAAATACTTAGGAGTGAAAATGATTTTTTAACTTTAAAAAAGACTGCCAGGGGCTCCCCTGGTGGCGCAGTGGTTGAGAGTCCGCCTGCCGATGCAGGGGACACGGGTTCGTGCCCCGGTCTGGGAAGATCCCACATGCCGTGGAGCGGCTGGGCCCATGAGCCATGGCCGCTGAGCCTGCATGTCCGGAGCCTGTGCTCTGCAACGGGAGAGGCCAAAACGGGGAGGCCCCCAAACCCAAAAAAAAAAAAAAAAAAAAAAGACTGCCAAACAGTTCTTAAAAGTGGTTGTACCATTTTACATTTCTGTCAACAATGTATGAGAGTTCCAGTTGCTTCACATCCTCTCCAACATTTGGTGTTGGCAATCTTTTTGGTTTATAGTTGTCTCTCTTTTTATATTGTTAGCAGCTATTGATAATCGTTACCTTGACATATTAATGTATTTGGGTTTACAAAATGGTGTTATTCTATAATTCACTTATTTGCTGAAATGCTTCTATAAGGAGAAAATTTCAAAGACAAAGAAACTTCCCTTCAAATCTATTTGGTTCCCCTGAAATACAGTTCATATAGGAAAGGCAGGATTAACACAATTCTTTCTATTTACCAATTTTCAAAATTATGAGTTGGTTCTCTCACATCTATCAAAGATTGACAGTGAGAGGTCTTTTTTTTTAAGTATCATTTTAGTATCATTATTTACTTATTTAAACTCATGTATTTAAATATTTGATGTGTAAAAAAGATAAGTAAAAAAGAATTAAATATTTGATGTGTTTAATCCTTCTCAATTATCGTTCTTATTGTTGCTCAAATTGTCCTGTCTTTAGCCAGTGGGAATCTCTTCTGATTAGCTCCTTAGTCCTTTGACACAACTCTCTAAGTCTCTGATAGCTTCCTTGCCTTCTAAATGACAAGATGTTCCAGACTCATCTTCAGCATTTCCTGCCCCAGACATGGAACCAGCCATTTCTCCAAGGAACCCTGGTTCTTTTGAGTGGGAAATGGTTATTTTAGAGGCCACAATGTGCTAAAGACGTTTATTGCTACTGAGTGATTCATTGTTTCTAGACCTTTCCAGTTAGTGGAGCTAGGAAATGTGTCCTTGTTGGTTAAAGATACAACGCAACATGAGTTTATACTAATATGTCCAATTCAAAATCAGGACTACCCGCATCAATCTCAAATCTGTATCTGCTTTCACCCATGCCTAAACTACAACAATTGCTCATTTGCTTTATCCCACCATGTACAAACAACAGTCTCAGAGCAACAGTCTTGGCACTACCACCACAGTATGATTACTGAAAACTGTTATTTGTTGGGGGCGGGGGTGGGCTTTTTGTAACTTCTTTTGTTATCAGAATATATTCTAATAGGGATGTGTAGTCAATTATTTAAAGTCACTTAGATTCCTCGTGTGATTATGCCACCAACTCAATACATAGTTAGGTTAATTTGTTTATTCTTGATTTCAATTTTTAGGCATTATTTTTATTTATTTATTTATTTTTTTTTTTGCGGTACGCGGGCCTCTCACCGCTGCGGCCTCTCCCGCTGCGGAGCAACAGGCTCCGGACGCGCAGGCCCAGCGGCCATGGCCCACAGGCCCAGCCGCTCCGCGGCACGCGGGATCCCCCCAGACCCGGGCACGAACCCGTGTCCCCCGCATCAGCAGGCGGACTCTCAACCACTGCGCCACCAGGGAAGCCCAGGCATTATATTTTTTAATTTAACTTTGGTTTCTAACTATATAAAATATTTACATGGTTCTAAAGTCAAGTC